ATATGAACGAAATTTACTACTGTATATATATACTGTATATACAGCAGCACAATGCAAATATGTACTGTATTATTCGTGTAATAGTCTGCTGTGTGCACATCATGGTGCAACAACAGCGCATATATTTCTTTATGTCAACCAATCAAAATAATAAGTTAAACCCACAGTATAAAAAGGTTTACTGTACCGTGGTTTCAGCAGCTGCGGGTTCAAGGTTGTACAGTATATATATAAAGTGGCTGTTGGATCCAGCAGCTTTTTACATCATATACTGTACAGAAAAACTTGGAGCAAAAATATACGACTCATAAATAAATCAGACGGAGTGATAATTAAAGAGATCCCATCAAATCTTGTTCATCCATAGGATACTAGGTGTGTACTGCTGCCTGTCTGCGTCAAAGTTGCAATACTCTGAATGACATTTGCTGCTGTACTTCAATACTTCAGCTGTGAACATGAGGATCGTTTTAGCTTTCAGGATTGTTGTCAGTGGTCAACAATCATCTTGACAACGTACTGCTGCGACTTATTGACAGCAGCAATAATGCTGATAAGTATAGCATGAATATTGCCAATGTGGGAACATATCCGGGCGGGGTGAACAACATGAAACAGAGTACGAACAGAAGAAAATCCGCCGGCATGTCTCTACACAATACACACCTTGATGTTAGCACAGTAATAGGGGAAGCACAAAACATTCTATGAATATGCTTTCCACAGCTGTTCTTCATTTGGTAAGAAGACACATTTATAGGACCTATACACTCAGCATAATTCCATAATTAGTGTACAGTATTTACTCCAGCTGCACTTGAGATAATAATCAAATTTGAACAACGAAATTTAGTTGAACAGCAATGAGGGCCTGCAAACAAATTTGGGATTAGGGAGGTTCCCAGTTTGGGAAACAAGTAGTTTTGTAGTAGAAAGTAAGAATTACAGGAAATTTTGCTTGGTGATATTTTGGGGCTTAATTTGATTTTCAAAATGAGCTAGGTCACGGAATGCTGAACTTGAGTGAGACAATGGTTCATTTGCCCAACTTTCACTTCCTTTCAAAACACATCTACTTACATTTGTAACTGTTTTTCTACAAAAAGACCTTCAGAAAAACTGAGCCATGGAGGATTGAGCGGGTAAGCATTCAAGTTAGGAAGGCCTTTCAGCTTGTTAAGAGAATCCAAAGAGGAATTTGAAAAATAAATTGACGAAGGGAGATTTGAGGTTATTCAACTGTGCATCCGTCAGAAATTGGAATATTTCCCTGGAACCTCAGAATGTAAAAAATCAGCGCAAAAAAAAAAAAAATCTCAGACATGTTTGCACATTCTTATTAAAAGTTGTCATATCACAATTAGGACAATGCACTTAAAAGCATGTATTTTCAAAAATGTTTTCAATAGCTGGCTTTGTCCAGTCTTCCAAGAATTGTTTATTTGCTGCGTGATACTCTTTAAAGAAAATAATCCACAATATACAGTATGTAGTGTATATATACAGGAAGTGGAATATCCTCTGTATATGCAGTATAGGAAGGATATTCCACTCCCAGCAGAGAGTTTTACAATTTCCCATAAATATATATCACACTTGGCCCCACATCCAGCACCAGAAATATCACAAAGGCGATTGTATTCGCTTCAAGAGAATTGTATTCCCACGTTTTCTTTTTGTTGTTTTACACACGAAAATGCCCCAGCGTTACAAAGATGACTATTCGGGCAAGAGGACACGAACAAAATAATATGCAGCCGATGCCACCAACAAAAACGGTCCGAAGCAAGTGGGCTGTCAAAAACGCGCTTTGCCTTCATCACAATCAATGTCCTTCACTTTTCCTGGTCTGTGGTCCTGCAGTTAACAACAATCTTTCTTTTGTCTTTTCCGCCGACTTCCGAAATTCACACGATGAGTAAAAAAAAAATAATACGGACGGTACACACCAGTTCGTGAAACTGAGACTATTACGCGACGAAAATGAAAATGCGGTAGAATAAAGTTGGAAAAAAACCCCTACTGCCTCGATCGTTCACGGAACTTCTACTGTATATGAAAAATCTTTTTTTTCTTCCACGTCTCAAAAGTTACAAAAACAATTGCGGTTCTTATAATCTACCTTCAAAGAAAACATAAACCTTTTCCTCGAAATGATGAGGCAAATTTCAGCAAGACTCATTAGTCCCTTTCGCCGTCGCGAAAATTCAGAACTAGACAAGAGTAGAACAATTTTGCAAAATGTCAACAGATCACGGTCGAATCTTCTGCACTATGCTTCGAACGTCGCAGATTTCCTCGCAAAACAAATGCAGTCACGATACAAAAAAAAGGGAGATGATCAGCCTCTTCAATAAGTTGGTAAACATCACCTGCAAAGAATAATACGTCCATGGTCAACGCAGAACATGATTTTCCAGAAGTATAAAAAAACACATTTAGACAAAAGATCCCAGGATAGAATTTGACATGGCATAGAATTAAGTTGAGAAATAATTATTGTTCCGAAGAAATATTCCTTATTACGAAAAGAATTTAACCCTGTTCGACATAACTGTCAGCAATTTTTTACAAAAGTCACCCTCGGCAGCTTTCTGCTTTTCCGTCAAAAGATAAAGGCGCCCATATTACGCAAATATTTTGGTTCAGCCCAGCTTCTCCTTCAGGATTCTCGAAATCGACATGGCGTTAATTTCTAGATTTGCCTTGAATTTGATGATTAAATCAGCCATTTTTCTTCAATAACCGCCACTTGAGATAAGAATGTGGCGACTGTTACTGAAAATGGCGGAATTGATAATTAATTACTGGCGGAAACCCTTGTCAATTCCAGCAATTCCAAAGAGAAAGCTGGCATAATGGATAAATTTTGCAAAAAATTACTGAAAAATATGTTGAACAAGACTAAATTTTTTCCTTGCGTCAAGGGATGACTTTTTTTTTCTTCTTCTGAACAATAATTGTTTTTTCCCCAGCTAAATCATATGCCATTCAAATTTCTATTCCGAGAACATTTTGTTTGACCCCCCTAATAATATGTATATAATGCACTGTACCTGGTAAAGCCAAGGTCGTCCAGCAGAGGAGCAGAAACTGCAGCAGCACATCTTTTTTTTTTTTTTTTTTTTTTTTGATGGACGCTGGTGGTTTTCAAGGCGGTTGACGAGCACATTCAGAGCCAGCCACAAACAAAAAACCTCACTACTGACGAACAATCCTTGGCGACTAACGGCGACAAAGTACAAAACAATGATGTGTCTTCAAAGAGCGGGTTTTTTTTTTCTTCCGAGATTCCTGTTGATGCTGATGATGATGATTGATGATGCTGATGAGCACAAGCCCGGGGGTTTCGCTCTTTGATCGCGACTCCTGGTCACAGTCCTCAGACATTTTAAACAGCCACGTTCATCGTGAGGACTTGATATTTCAACGCCATATTTTCGGGGCATATAGGGTGAGCCAAAACAAAAACAAAAATGCAAAAGTCCTTGTCGGTCGTCGTCGTCGTCGTCTCCATCCTCCGATTTCAGGTACTTTCTTTGTCTCGGGGGTTCGAATGGATGAAGAACGCCTGCATTCATCACATTGCAGCGACTGACTGCGTGTGGAAGATGATGATGATGATGATTTTATGGAAGCCTCGTCGAGATGTGTGGTATGCAAATGACTTCTTTTTTCTCCTTATTCGACGGCTCAGCTGGCTTTTTCGCAAAGCAATAAGCAGAGCTTCTCCACGAAAGGAAATTGAAAAAAAAACACACAAACCGAACAGTTCACAATGGCGAACTCGCTTCAGGTACTTGCTCCACAAATGACAGCCTTATTGGTAATGGTTCCTCTCTCTCTCTCTTTCTTTCTTGAATTTCATCAGAATAAGCTTTTCGGTGCAGCAACAACAGAAAAAATTCCTTTCTTCCTTGTACTTGATTCAGCTCGGATGGACGAGAGTGTGGAGCGAGGAAAAATACACCAGACTCGAGACTTGGTCCATTTACAAGAAAGCGTCTTGTGAATATAACGAGGATTGCTTCAGGAGCGCTTCCCAACTCGGATGTCCTGTATAAAACATTTGACAGGTTGTGAAATGCATTCATGCGTCGGCTCGAGCATCGCGATGCCTTCGTCAAAAAAAATAAATAAAATAGAACAAAAACAATGAACGACTGAAATAAAAGAACCACGATGGCGGCTTAATTTAAACTGCGCGAGAGCAACAGCATATATAGAAAAAAAAACAGGTGACGCTGGAATATGAAAAAAAAAAAAACTATTGATGCCTGGTCTTTGCCTACAACTACACACTGAAGCATTTCAAATCCCACTTTACAGCTGCATTAAAATAAATAAGCGACCGAAAAGTTCTAGGGAATTATTCTAAATCTTTGCGTGACCCACACAGCTATACAAAAACAAAACAAAAATGATCGAAAATTTACTTTGAATGGATAACAGTTATTTTTCGAAATCACCATGGTCCTAATTTTTTAAAGACTATTGCATGTGAATTTCCACCACAAAAAAAAATCAACCATGAATTTAAAATTGTAACATTGAAGTATTTTGTGACTGACAGTGACATCTACGCACACAAGGGAGCCCCCGAAATTATTCTGGACAAGGAAGGGAAAATTCCCCAGTGGATGGATCACGAAACTCTCAAAAGTATACTGACACTCTTTCGAACACCCTACACATGTATTTTATGAGTTTCTCAACGCTTTTATTCGCTCTCTGTTTATACTCGTACAGTACTCGGAATAGACAAGAAATTTGACAAAAAATTAATATTCGGGTAATTTTTTCTTTCGCAAACCAGCAACTTTTTTTTTCTTTATCACACCACTCCGTGTCCTGGCTTAAATATTCGAGTATCACGACTGATTAATTGATTGATTATTGACACAACTCACCGGTCTCAAAAAGTTAGCTGATGGCTCTTGGATTCCCACATAAACGAGCACGAAGTCAACGTCGTGTTGCCATCCATGGCATTTTTGAACTCTGGACTACCACACGAGACGTCAGTGCTTCCTTGTACTTTCACATGGTGGTGAATGTGGCGATGGCGGCAGATGCTTCATCAACACAGTCTGTCTCCATGATGGTAGAAAAGTGTGGTCGTCTTCATGACGGCTTCTCCTTTTTGCTTTGTTTTGCTGTTCGTCTCTGGTCCCACGAGCAGAAGATGAAGATGAAGAAGAACAAAAGGACCATTTGGACGGCCTTTCGTGAGAGGAGAAGTCGTGACTCATTGAACTGAAGTATAGTGTCCAAAGGCAGGCAAGTAGACACGAGGAAGACGAAGACGAAGAACAAGAAGAACACACGGCCGACGATTCCTCCCATTTCATGCTGCTGGTTCCGTCGTCGATCTCACAGAGACCAGATGATTGATCGATTGATTGATTGATTGATGATTTGATGAGCATCATCTCGATCTCGCAGTTCTTCATCACCAGTCAGTTAGACACGTCAGCCCTGATGCAGTGCTGAAATCACTGGCGTGGGACGACCCACTCGACACGGACCCTCGTCCCCAGTGTCGCACGACAGCAGCGGCGGCGGCGGCTGCAGCTGGCGACGACGCCGGCGCCACGGATCCCGACGCTGCAGCAGCTGCAGCCGCCGCTGCTGCCGCGGCGGCCGCAGCCACCACCACCACTGCCCCGCAACACACGTCGTCGCCGTCTTCTTCGGGGATCACAGCCTCGCTGGGGGTGCACAAGAGGGACGAGGATTGCTTGAGGCCCGCCATGGCGTCCCCGCCGACGGCGGCGGCGGCTGCCGCTGTCATGGCGTCCACGACCCCGGCTTCCACGTCCGAGCCGCCCTGGGGCTGCCACTCGAGCTTCGTCACTTGCAGCTTCTGGATGCACAGCCGCCTTTGTGGCCTGTCCATCGAGTCCAGCCTGCAACACAAAAATGAAAATTTTTTAAAAATCAATATTAAAAAGCTTCGTAACAAACCAATCACGGTACAGTAATGTATAATTTTTGTTTCAATTTTTACAGAGGGGGGGGGGAATCAATATTAATTCATCAGCTGCGTCCAGAACCACAAAGAATAGCAAAACACAAAAAAAACATATTTGAAAATTTCACTGGTGATACCTCCAAAATTTCAATTTTGCACGTAGTCCTCAGTCACAGATGGCGACATGGAAAACAAAAATGTTGGCTCGAAACAGCAAGCAAGCAAACAAACAAGCACGGACCTGTAACGAGGCGAGTCCCGCTTGAAGAGGTGCACCAGTTCCCGGCGGGTGCGGCGACTGTGGAACCCGTAGAGCACGGGCGACACTGCGGTGAAGCCCAGCATGGAGAAGATGCTGAGTCTGTGGAACCACTCGGGGCTCTCCTCGAACCACAGCCACTCCAACACGATGTGCACGAAGAACGGCGTCCAGCACAGGAGCGAGGTGAGCATGATGGCCAGCGAGAAGGCGGCCGTCCGGTCCTCTTCCTTGTGCTGCGGCAGATGGTGCTGGTGGGTGGCGGCGGCCACGGCAGCCGCCGTCACGCCGCCCCCCTGCTGCTGCTGCTGGTGCAGGTGCAGGTGCTGGTGGGCGCTGCTCAGGCGGTGGAGCACGAACTGGGCGAAGGAGTTGGTGCGGGACAGGGTGGCCGCAGGTGGCAGCTGGTAATTCCCGCTCACCAGTGGACAATCCCCTGTGGCAGAAAGAAGAATGTTTGTTGATGTTTCAGTTGGAAAAAATATATTCTGTACACTCTTCCAAAGACAAACGCATTTTCACTTTCCAAAGTTGTCTATACAGTACAGTACAGTACTTTGAATCGGCAAATAACAAGATAACCCGATTCTAAAGAGAGGACGTTTCAATTCCTTACTCCAAAAGGGTCCCCAACCTTTTTGAGGGCGGCCCATCACAGTCTGGCAAATTCCTAAACAATTTTCTCCGGACCGGCAATTTTTTACGATATATTTGCAGACTTGAACAAGTTCTGCCTGAAAACCTCCATGGGAGGTATTTAAACGTTTTGGCATTTTTTGCCACAATTAAGTTAAGCACCAATGAAGCAGCTATAGCTCAACGTTGTTTTAAAAAAAAAATTAAAAAGGGTGGGCTTGAAGGAAGGGTTCTCAGAATGAAAAAAAAAATGCAAGTGTTATTAGGAGAAGAGACAACTTTTATTTTTTTATGAGATAATTTCAACTGCCACTGCCGTTCCAAAAGTTTAGATAAAGATAACAGACTTCATTGCTACTTTTGATAATCGTATTATGCTGAAAATGTTCTGTAGACTGGTGCCAGTCCATGGACTTACACGTTAGGAACACTGCTTCATTATACCAGCGTTTTGTCAATTTGATTTCCCACAGAAGGACACATTTTAAGAAATAAAAATGACATGCAAACTTTCATTCCAAGCAGCAGATCCCCCCCAAAAATGGTTGTTGCTTCATTTTCCTTCAGGATAATTGGGGGATCTTTCAAAAACAAAACAAAAAACTGGACTTCTGTATTGTACTTCCCTTTCTGCAATAGGAAGAGTGAGTGGCATTCCCAGAACCTTTATAAATTAAAACTGCAGAAACGTAAAAGAGATTCCTGGAGGATAAACTAGCATTTTCACTCAACACACGGTAAATTTGTTTCATTTATGTACCAAGAGGCTTTCATGGAAAGAGTTTTGAATTAATGTACATCGCAGCAGCAAGTTCTCTCCTTACACACATACACACACACACACACACACACACACACAGAAAGAAAAGATGAAAATGTCTCACGCAACCGATTCCGCTCAACCCATCAATATCTTATCGCTTCTTACATATACCCAGAGTTTTAAAATAAGAGAGAGAGAGAGAGAGAGAGAGAGAGAAAAAAACAAGAAGGTTTTCCTTTTTTGTCGCTGCTCGCGTCTGTTTATGGCTTCCAAGAATTCGGGCCAACAGCAGAAGCAGCGAACCACTTCCTAGTTTGAAGAACGAGCATCACAATAATATTCCGAGGAAAAAATAAAAATAAATAAAACAGAAGGAATAAATGAGCTGTTCAGGGGAACTGTACTTGATTCCTGAATTGTTTTTCAGCACGGGGGGACCCAAAGTTATTTGAATAGGGTTTGAATTGGAAATGCGACAACCGAGCTACACTTTTTTTGTTTCCTGCTGTATGTATCTCCTTTTTTCCCCGCTCCGTTAACCCGTTCAAAACGGTTTCTCCTCCAAATTTGTGTATTCATAAGTCTGTTATCGTCATCGTAATAATCTTGGGACACAAAAAAAAACTGAAAGCGGTTCCTACTCCTGAGACAAGGACCACATTTGCATGAAGCAAGTACAGGGTGCTCATTATCATCAAGAGAACTACTGTACAAACATGTACAGTAATTGCAGAAGTTTCAATTAAAACAGTTCCAAGCAAAGTTTGTGAACGCGGATTCACTTTGCAAGAACACCTCTCTTTTTGAAATATGTCTCGTCACCCTGTCATTTTTTGTTAATGCGTGGTGTATAAAAAAAAAAAAGAAGAAGCTCAACACTGTACAGTAACTGATTGAATTTAGTGAACGGATCCCAGGCCTACAAGTTCAAATCTTGCAGCCAGTTGAAATATGTTGCCACCAAAATCCGAAATTGAAACAATAGAACAGTTCAAAGCCTTCTCGTATTGGCTTATTAAATTATACAGGAACTCATAAAAAGACAATTTTTCGGCCATTCTCAAGACTAAACACTGTTTTTTTTCCACCCCCAGAAAATCGAAAACATCTGTGACTTTCTCAACTGAACCTTTCCCTGTTGTCTGTTCGTCGTTCTTTCGATTCATCGGTGAATTAAATTACGGTACACGAGGATTCGTCACGAGAAAAAATCAATTAGTAAATCGTTCTTCCCAATTGTTGCGACAATATCAGGACAGGAATGCTGGCACTTCCCATTTGACATTAAAATTGCCTCATGGTAGAAATGGAAATGACATGGAACTCTTTTTTTTCCTCAACTAGATATAAATCCGTTAGAATAATCTCACATCATACACAGTAGCAATCAATTAAATTCTGAATTCCACTTCCCTTGGATTGTCTCAGCACTTGTCGCCTATCATTTAGCCCTCTCTGTTTTTCCGTCAACCTTCTTTTCGTTTTTTTTTTTTTTTTGTTGACCAGGTTATTCCAAGATGGGAATGGTGGAGGCTACAGTATTATTACAGCCGATTCCAGGAATTTGTCATTGCCTGAACGAATAATAATCAGGCACAACGCATCAACAGCCAGGAGCCCGGAATAAAAACTCGTCGCTCTCGCGCAAAGATGCAAATTGACAACAACAACAAGACGTGAAAATGAAATGAAACGGGACTTATTGGAAAATGTGTGATTGTGATTAATTGTGCACAGGGGCTAGCAAATAAAAAAAAAAGAGACTTTCGTTCATTCACCTTGAAGGGACTCTGGGTACGGTGTCGAGGGTGATGAAGAGTTGGGCGTGGCGCTGGACGAGCTCCTCCTCGTCCGCTCGCTGTTCTTCTTGGCAGCCGAGTAGATCCTCCAGTAGATCCAGGTCTGGGCCACCACAGGCACCACGAACAACGCCACGAGCACGAAGAACACATAGGCCCCCTGATGGAAAAAGGAAAATGCCGAGTTAGCGGAGAAACAAAACAATGATTAGTCGAGTTGAAGAAGAACAAAATTATCCAAACACACACACATAATTTCGATATACAGTAATAAGAACCAAAGCCAGGTTATACGTTCCCATCACTTTCACTCACCTCAAGACAGTGTATATATACAGTATATACCGAGAGGAGAGGAGAGGCAAGGGCGAAAAGGAAGAAACCAACGCTGTGATCATCATCATTAATATGATTCAAGACATGCATCTAACGTCAAGAGTCCAACTGCGTCACTCCTCGTCAGGGGAACAACCAAAAAGGTAAGCCAGTCAGAGATGAGGAGGAGCAGCTTACAGTAGAGTACAGTACTTTTATTGGACACCCAACCAAGAAGTAAACCAGAAGCACTCTCTCCAGAAACACAAAAAAGAAAGAAACAGTCCCCAGTTCTCTCTACAGTACATCCTGGTTGCTCGCTCAAGAAATTAAAAAGAACAATGATAAATGAGGCAACTTACTCCTTTTTAAATCTACTGCGAGAGAAAACGGTTCCTCAAATTAATACTGTTTTTTTCACAAGGTCACAGCATTTTGATTCATTACAGTAAAATATCGTTACAAACAACGAAGCTCTTGGGAACGGGAAAACCGATTCGTTATACCGGTGAATTCTTAATAAAGCGAATCGAATAACATGATTGTTGTTATGCTGATTATGCGGATATAACTTCCGCATAATCATTTCTTGACACTGTTGAAGCATTCGATTGTACAGCATATTCTTACTGTACTTCCCAAGTCTGCACCAACATTTACTGCAATATTCTCAAGAATGTGACCTCGTCCGAGAAATGGGGATTTTTCCTGAAGNAGAGAGAAGAGTCTATCGTCTGTAATCTCATAATGTAAAAGAGAGAGAGAAAGAGAGATTTTAAAAAGTCGCCAACATAGTTTCCACGATTGAATCTATTCTTTGCCAATACTGAACAGTATTATTCTTGAGAAATGACTTTGTTGATGACTCACAGTCTGGAGATTGGCATAAAACACCAGATAAGATTCGTTCCCAGCCTCCATAGGAGTGTGAAGAAAGAACAAAACAGAAGAAGAAAAGAATCAAGATGCTCGGATGCCCCTTTTGGGACAAAAATTTCAAAAGGATATTCGAGCTTCATCTTTTTTTTCTATTCTTTTCTTTGTCAGTGGTATTATCAAAAGGAAAATGGAAAATAACGCCAACAACAACAACAAAAAAAGAAGAAGAAGAAGAAGAAGAAGGGAGAAGACGAGGGAGAAATAAACGAGACACTGACCTGGATGGTCCAGCTGACATTCGGGATGGGGTCGTTGCCGAGGGCCGAGGCGCACACGTTCCAGTCCCAGTCCACGGGCGCCACGAAGACGTCGAGCAGGGACAGGAGCGCCGCCGCGAGCCACGTGGCGGCGATTGTGGCGTTGGCCTTGTGGCGCGTCACCCGACGCCGGTAGCGCAACGGGTCCAGGATGGCCAAGTACCTGTCCACGTGGATGGACAGGGAGCAGAGGACGGAAGTGGCGGCCAGCATGAACATGAGGCCGTTGAGGCCGTGGCAGGCCAGGTCCGGCATGGCGTCCCAGTCCATCATGTCGACCAGGATGAGGGGCACCACGACCAGGGTCAGCAAGAGGTTCGCCACCACCAGGCTCGCCACCAGCCTGTCAACACGAGTAACGACAGTTCAGTAAACAGTGTTGTGATGCATTGTTTTGTACGCATGCGAAAACACAAATACAGTAGTTTACAGGTGCAGTACAGTACATTACTTCTACAGTAGTTGAGATTGAGAACACAATCCACACTCCAATCTTTTATAGTACAGTACTGTAATTGAAGCTGTGACAAAATTCAGCAAAAGTTCATCTTCACGGCGCGAAAAAAGGAGTGAGTAGTCAAAGAGGATCCATCGAATATTTCAACCGCTCAATACAGTACAAATGAATTTGAAAAACTACAAAAAATTGTCAACGAATAACTCGGATTCTTTCGAATTAAGTACCTACACGCCGGGATTCGAAGGAAAATTCCGGGTTTTTTTCTGTTTTCAATACCGCGTCAAATTTTCCGGGAATTTCCTCTTTTAAATTTGAGGGAACAACAAAACAATGCTTCTTCGCGGACTCCAAATACTTTTTTTTGAAGGACTTGAGAATGGAACAGTTTTCTAAAATATAGACAAACCAATTCCCCGATGGAATAATTACAAAGCCTGAAAAGCTTACAAGTAGAAAACGAAGTATCACATTAAAATTATGAACTGAACAATAAAAAAAAATCAAAATCACGTCGGCGATTCAACAGACTCGAAACGTCTGTATTCGATAAGTAGGATGCAAATTTTTAATGTATTTTAAAGACACTCGCATTTGAGACAGGGTCCTTTGTTCGATTTATGATCCGTCGTTTCCAGAGCCCATTTCAAACAGCACACACACAAAAAAAATATTCGATAAGTAGGATGCAAATTTTTTGTATTTTAAAGACACTCGCATTTGAGACAGGGTCCTTTGTTCGATTTATGATCCGTCGTTTCCAGAGCCCATTTCAAACAGCACACACACAAAAAAAACGCATAAGGAAGTTGCCTCTCAACAAAAAGCCACAAAGAACCCTGCCCCCAAGGCTTTCCACTTGTTGCGAGTTCGTTAATTCGTGACAACGGTAAACATCACTCAATGAACGGATTCCAGGGGAAGATAATTATTCAGGAAATTGCCAATACGCCTTCATTAGGGCAGCAATTACCAAAAATCGTTTTTGAAGCTTCAATGTCAAAACAGAAAAAAAAATGAAGACTGGCGTACCAGGGAATGTTAAGAAGTTTTGTCTGTTCCCAAGAATATTACATTCTGATCCTTGAATTTTTTCAAGTTAGAATTTTTAAAAGTTTTGAAGACCTTCGCCCATCTTCAAATTCACGACAACCTCTGCATTCAAAAATTAATAAAATAGAAAATTTATGAGAGTACGTGAGGTTTATTACTGTAGTACAGTCCTGTATCCAATAAACATTTACTTTCAATTATTTGAAGCTTTTCGAAGCAATCGTACAAGTTCGACGGGCAAAACCTAATTTCTCACATTAATGTGACATTTGCAATTTTGCGTCTCCATCTTATTCATTTCAAATTCAAAACGTGATGGTGAAAACAATTGTGTAATTATTATTTTTAAACCATGTACCGTAGCATCAATTCGTGCATCCACCGAAGGGAAACAATGAAATGGTCTGACGAAACTTTACGAAAGAACCCCCCGTAAATCCAGCTACTTCTCGCAAAACTCAAGCAGCACCTTGAATTTCGTCTGGTTCAAAATAATGAGTCCGTCCTTCAGGTTTTTTTTCTTTTCATTTCGGCGAATTAGGAAAAAATAGTCCAAGGACCGAGGAGAGTTTCATTCCAATCTCAGAAGAGCAGCCGAGAGAGTAAAAATAAAAAATGACCCTGTTGAGTTGATGCTGGGTCACGAATTCCGTCTCAACTTTCCTTGTGAAAAAAAATCTTGAAACAAAACGCACAAGTTTTCCGAGCATTCGCGGCCTCGATAAAAAATGAATGGCAAATAAAATGGCCACATGGTTTCATTACAAAATCACCGCGATGTTGATTTTGCTTTTTAAATCATGTTTGTAACCTGCAGAAATAAATTTTCTGCGACAAGCGTGGGCAGAAAACTGGAGAAAACACACAGGAGTAGATTCACTCGCCGAATTTCATTCATATTCTGGTTCTTATTGTGAATCCGTTTCTCGCTAGAGAGCCTTTTTATCCGTGACGAAACACAAGCTAAAGCTAGACTTTTCCAGTACAGTACTGTACTCGGTAGTACTTGCTGTGCATAGTCGTCAACCAAGAACGAAAACTAATGTACGCTTTTCTTCCTTATACTGTGTCATAAAAAAATATTGAACAATGAGAAGCCTTTGTGAAACGAATAAGATATTTACATAACTATCTCGTCAGGGCCTAAAAATAACGTCACTTCACATCCAGAATCGACATAGCGACTAAAAATAACTTTTTTTTTTTCCTCGCTCCTGGGGATAAGATCTGAGGATACTCGTACAAAAAAGGGATCGTAAAATAATGGACGAGAATAAGTGAACCAGGCTTTTCTTGGAAGCGCTCTCGAGAGATTATATTTTCTAATGGGCAACGCCCGTCCGGATTCAAATTGAACCTAGGCATCGTTAATTACTGTCCGGCGATTCGAGGCTGTAATTGGGAGGGACTTCTCGTCATGCAAATCAACGCCAGCACGGAAAAAGCTCTGCATAAATCCAAGACATGGAAGGCTATGCACTTACACGGAGTTTTCTCGCATTTATTTTGCAGGGATTCAAACTTCAATCTCGACACCTCATTATGGAAAAAAGCAAATAAGCAGATGCCATGAAACACTTGCTGATGGATTCTGAAGAATAAAAGCGAATATTTCATAACGACATGAGAAAATTAATCAAAATAAATGTACAGTACATGAAGAAAAATTCTGAAAAAATAGTCATCGCCCGTATTCGGCGCAACAGCAACAACATTAAAAATATCTTACTACAGTATTTCTAGCAGATAAATCGGGACTAGTGTGAAAATGTGAGAAAAATTCATGACATTCTCAAAACGATTACAATGCAATTCGTAGTCAAAGATAAAATA